GTCAAGCTTGACTTTTCTTTGTTTTGAACATCCAAGTGGGAATTTTGCCCTCCAGAATGCCGGATTTTGTGCCATGTGACAGTTTCATGCAAAGGGCCTATTGGATTCTTTTTGGGTCTGGTCAGCAAGCTCTCATAAATAGAAAGTAACCTTATAAATGAACTTTAGATTGACAGCTTTTTGATGCTTCACGAATCATGTAAGTTGGACTAAACTTAATATAAATTAACTTAGCTTGGCTGCATATCAAAAAATTGCCTCAGAGAAAAAATCATTCGTTTGCCAAACTTTTGCTGACCTTATGGTAATCTTACCTTATAAGGAAGTACGTTGGAGAGTTTTTTTTCAAGTTTTTTCCACCTTTTAGTGCTTTAAAATGGCTAAAACTTACAGAATTTGCAGAGAAATCGCTTTTCAACATGTCGGACTTTATAATTTTGTCCTAGTCCCCTCCCATCCTTGAAAATAAGGAATCCCACAAAAGACACAGGTAGCCCGCGCCAATGTTAGGCAATTGTTTATGGCCCATTGAAAACGACCACACTACGTATTTAAGCAATAAAAATGGTTATCTGGAAAAGTAATTAGCTTTTTTTTTGCTTGGTCAACTTGACTAAGTATTCCTAAATGTTTTTTTTTGACCATTGAAAGACTATTGAATTAAACAGGACAAAATTGAAAATGCCTCGAGTGCTAGACTACTGGCCGAAAAGCTGATTTAACAAATCATTCTTTCAGTACTCTAACATGCTTATAAGGCCCTCAGKATCAGGCTCCCTTTTCCCACAGAACATTCAAGTATAAAAAAAGAAGAAGATTACAACAAAGATTTACTTTTAAGTTCGATTTCCAACGCCGGACAGGTAAGAAATAGTAATTTAACGTTGTTTTACAATTATAATAATTAGTGATTTGTTTTCAAAATTCATATCGTTGCTTCAATTGATTATCTTGACATGCGCACGATTGGTCTCGCCCATGCCATAATTCTAGAGCAATAATTGTCATCGATCTYGTATTTTACGCTAGACATCAAATATCAAACAAAAGATTCGAAACAGCAATGATAGCTTTTACTTTCACTTTCCTGGTTTTTGATAATTCTTAAAAACGTCCTTCAATACATTTGTTCATTGTTAAAARCTACATATTTAAAAAGACGTTCTCGGATTAAATGCAAAGCAAATGCCAATTGTTGAACGGCGATTGCACTATCGAAGTAGCCATGGGTTTTGCTGAGAAATAGCAACTGCCTTTATACTATAAGATAGTCTGTTGTAAACATTGGCTCCATTTATTCTTCATTTCTTTACAAGTTAAATTTTGTTTGTCAAAACAGTGTAACCATTGCATTCTCCCAGGAACCAGTTGTCCTCCCGTTTTGAAAAATGCTACATAGATCCGCCACTTGGATGTACCTCTCTTCGACGGATTTTGTCCTGACAAAATGCCTAAAAAAATCACAACTGTGTACTATGTAATCCTAGTTTATTTTTATCAGTAAATAGGTTTTGTCTCTGACGATTCCAAGATGCTAACAATAATTTTTGGGTGTTTATGTTTCATGGTTTCCTACTGCTCAGCAGGTAAGTGTCGTTTCAGTTTTTAACTAATTGATATTTTTTATTTAATTTTATGTTTTAATATTGCAAAATTAAATAAAATATATTAGTTATTTCAACTGTATTAATTAAAGGATATTACATGGACGCGCGGAGATACGTTTTTTATCTTCTAGTGCTAAAAAGAACTCTCACGAGTGAGCGTGGCGATTTTCAACACGAGGACATAAAAGTCGTATCTCCAAGCGACCATGTAATATTCTGTTTATTATTTTATTATCTATGAAAGTAAATTATTGTTTTAAATTATGTTTTCRCTAGTAAAAACAGTTATTCGATGTAAGAAATTTAGATTCTTCATAAATAATTATATTATAAAATAGTTTATTGCATTGGCAGTAATTGATAGAATGATTGATCGATTGATTAATTAATTCAATTAAGTTAAAACAGTGTTTCTATCATCTTCCTATCTGTACCCCTGATCTAAAAGTAGTTGATCTATCCCCTTTTATAGGGCGTGGCATCTGCTATCCGACTTATGGTTGCTTTCACAACGATCCACCGTTCAAGCGTCCATTGATTCCATTCCCGAACCCGGCAGATTTAATAGGAACGACTTATCGTCTGTAYACCMGAGCTAACCGCGCCATGTCTGTGATCATTGATGATCAGGATCCGAATAAGATTTCTAACTCACCTTACGACTCATCCAAGAGAACAATATTGATAA